CAATCGTTAGGCATATTTTCAAAGTAGGTCTCCTTTCTTTGAATTTACTGTTACTCAAAGTCATCACAAACTTCTACGGGAACAAAAGCTCGGAGATAATTTTCTAAATATTGTGAAATACTTCCAGAAGAAGTGTCCTTTTAACAACGCAAAAAAAGAAGGTTCAAAAACGCGCGTTTATTTGAAATCAACCTAAGATTTTGCGGAAGCTTATAGAAAAGATTCAACCCCAGCTTGTCAATTTGCGAAAGTAACAAGTTGCATTCTAAAACCTGTTACTTGACAACTTCTCATGCATTCTTATTCTATGTCCGAAAAAGCGAAATACACTGCCATCTAAGCTTGCAAGAATAGTTATTCTGTAGGTGAGATCTGTGTAAATCAGAACAAAACTTCTGCCACCTTACTACTCGAAGACAATGATTAGCGCGTTCTGCACTTCTAATTTACCCCATTCTTTTTTGTTACATTTAAAATTTGATAAACAACATTTTTTGTTTACAGCAGTTGATTTCCTGTTGGTTAGTGCCTACGGATATGCATAGCGGCAACCTTATTTCACGTCACTTATCAATTTTACACTGTCCATTTCCAGTGATACACTTTTTCCAACAGATTTATTGAGAAAAACTACAGGCGATGTCAAAAACCTATTCCCTTTTGTGCAGTCCTCGATTTGCATGCACGCGCCTCAAATCCCATGCGCCACGTGCGCGAGCGGATGGCAGGGCATTTTGCCAACTCCCACAGACGTCATCGATCGAGGGTTGGCAAGGGCCCAAGCCGTACGCACGCGAACGGAGCGCATCAGCCTTGCGATGCGTACGCATAAGAGCTACGGACTTGTGAGCCCCTTATTAACATGCACTGTATATTTATTGGCTCAACCATGTATATAACCAAAAGCTCAATGAGACAAGGACGAATTTGCTAGCTGCAAAGAAAGATGTTGAAAACTAATGTCATTATAATGGCTGACATTTTCTGCTTAGAGATTGTCTTTCTTTATCAATGGTAGCGAGGAATAACCTGAATCAATAAAGACATGGTGATGATCGCATGCCTGCAGATATTACTGGGGAATTTGCGGTTCACTAAAAACAAGAAATCACTGTTATTCTCATGTTCACGGACCTGTTAAACGCAAAGCTTTGTTAATGACGATGTCATCATAGGTGAAGAGCTTGATCGATTTCATCGATGCAGGAAAATTTGAACGGCTTGAAGAATGTCACTATTGGTACAGGAGTTTTCCACAAGGTGCTCTTGGTCTCGGATCGTGGGCCCAATATCTAATACGGCCATGGGGAAGACGTTCGATTCTCCCTATAAGCAAATGATTCGACTTGTTTTCTGCATATTAAGGCATTTACTCCCTGAAACTTACACTGCCATGGATCTGGGGTATATCGAGCGAATACTGAGCACATGAGAGCAACAAATGTTAGAAGCCCAAACCACATCTTTGACTTGCCAGGCTTTTCTGTGAAAAAAGAGAGTGAACTGCAAACTATGAAAGCGCACATGAATGACTAGAAAGGCTGTCAGCCGCATATTGAAACATAGGATTTGCATGAGTCAAACTTAAAGGCCGGGCAGCGCGATTTGGCAGTATTCCAATTGTCCGTAACTCACTGTAAGCACATTTCAGGTGTACAGAAGATAGGGCATTTTATCAATCCACGTAAGTTACACACTCTATGCATATGCGGTTCGCTAGTGTTGGATGTGAATACTTCTGGCGAATTGCCAAATCGCGTCGCGACCGAAATCGCGTGGAGTATGCTCGGCCTTTTATGAAAATCTTCACTGGGATATACTAGGTGGGCACACTAGCTCTCATGCGCGCTGAGCTTCTGAAATTTTACATCGAAGGTAGCGTCTACGAAAAATCTAACCCTCTCCGGCTTAGCACCTATCTTCAGTGTAGGCCCCATGATAGGGGCATTCGCGTTTGTCCGGTGCTCCATTGCTGTCTCCGAATATAGATAATGGACTTGGAACAGCGAAATGCTACCGAGCCACGCCTAAATTATCAAGCTCCGCCCTGCTTTGAGAGTAAGAGCGCTGGGATTCAATGCAATCCAATATTATATTCCATGGAACTTCCATGAAATTAACGAAGGCGAGTGAGTGAATCATCTCAAGAAACTTACCTACTTTGACTATACTTAATAATATTTAGGTACGATTTCTCCGACTGGCGCAATTTTACTGAATTTTCCCGAATTGCCCATGATCTGGGAATGTACTCATTGCTAAGAATAGGTAACTTTGGATCGTCTCGTGCATCTTCTAAACCTACATCGTCTCGTGCATCTTCTAAACCCCACTCCTTCTAGGACCTTACGTCTGTGCTGAATGGGAGAATGGTGGTTTACCATCGTGGCTGCTAAAGAAAAATATTACAATGATGAGGACAAGAGAAAAAGGGTTTAATAATATTATATTTTCTAGAAAGTTAAGGAATGTTAGATTGTTTTTTAGTTTCAAAGATGCCGTAACAAAATGGTTCTCAGTGTTTCCTCCTAAGATTGAGCCTATGCTTCGACAACATGGTGGACCCGTACTGATGATACAAGTTGAGTACGAATATGGAAGCTATAGCGCTTGTGACAAGTAAGTTATTTTTTATTTTTACGATGAATCGCAACGAGATCAATAAAGAAATCAATGATTTCAAATAATCAATAAGTTGATAAATCCAATAATACTGATTGAATAATTTCCTGTTTTATGATTACAAACTTGTTTCTATTATGCTGTCAAGTGCACAATTAAATATAAACCGTATATTCAATGTATTTTGCTCCAAGTACTAGGGTGGTGACAATGTCACTAGTTTATAGTTCCACTATCATCAGTATATGGTGTTCGCTCCGGACCGCGTACGCACCGCTTGGCGTCGCTGCTCTAATTCGATCCAGCGCTAAGATTGCTGCATTAGATTTTAAATTAGATGTCAGCTTCTCAGTATAGAATATATATTTTTTATTTCTTTATCTTTATCTTTATCTTTACACTCAAGGTGTACCATTTAAAGTATGAAAACTGTTAGCGTGGGGCCAGTCGCTATTTGAGTTATTTGAGTTGCGCTGAAGATTCTCGCATGGATGCACGATACTATTAGGTTGTCCCATAAGTCTTTTCATATCTAAATTTCCAGCGACATAAATCAGTTCTTTTTAATCTCCTAATAGAATGCGTAGTACCATTCGACAGACCAAAGCAAGCTCTACGAGATGGCCTTTGAAAGTTCACAAACCTCAATCCGTTTAAGTTCCCAGCCAAAACAAAAAAAAAATTCCGAATTTCCGAAAAAATGAAAATCGTCATATCTCAGTTCAAAACAACTCTGCGGATTTCCAACTTTTTCATGCGTATACTCTTCTCATCGGATATTTATGTATGCATTTGCTGCATTTTGGCTAAAAACCAAGAAAAAATAATACGCTCAGTTTTCAAACTTTGCCTGTATCAATTCTGTGTTCCCCGAAAATAGGCGATTACATAGCCTATTCACTCAGAGTTACTGTCAAAAATTTACAGCTTACTAGGTGCCCTAGTTCTTGAGAAATATCAAATTGAAGGTCCGAATATGAAAAGACTTATGAGACAACCTAATAAGTCAATTTAAGCCTTCGATTTCTCAGTGAAAAATAATTTTCAGAGAATATACAGCTTGGCTCAGAGATTCATTCCTGGAATATCTTGGCGATGAAGCTGTGCTGTACACGAGTGAGTTTTTAACTTATATATATCGTTATTTTAATGTTTGGTGATGTTAGCTGATGGCGGCGCCAGCACTTACCTTAAATGTGGGGCTATACCTGACACTCTGACAACTGCTGACTTTGGGCCAACATCTGAAAGGAGTATTAATGGTTCATTTGAAGCGGAGAAGAAATATTTTCCTGATGGTATGTATAAGCAGCTAGTCTAATGATACCCACAGGGTTAATTTAGGTCATGGACCATTAGTGAATTCCGAATTTTACCCTGGTTGGCTGGTATTATGGGGTCAAAAGACAGCCAAGCTTCCGTCGCCGGATGACATTGTAAAGTCTGCAAAATGTGAGGATGCCATTCTTTTTAAACTCTCACTTGTTTTTTTCAATTAAAGCTCAAAAACGTTACAAAAATTCAAAAAATCATCAAAATCTGCATATTTTTCAGATATGTATGGACTCGGAGCAAATATCTGGTGGAACGAACTTTGGTTTCTGGAATGGAGCCGAGACTAATGCACCGGTAAGTGCACAAGTTTTATTTTTTTCTCAGCCTTGGACAACTTTGTTACTATATACGGGTCGTATTTGCAGCGCATCACTTCTTATGACTATTTTGCCCCCATAGGCGATGTGACACCCAAATATCTGGCTATTCGAACTTGGATGAAAGGTTTTAAAGACTGGAAGAATGCTCCGTTGGATGTTCCGGAGGATAATCCGTGAGTAGAAGTTAGAAGTCATCCAGTAAGAGAAAGAGAAAGGGGAAATAGTGGCAGACCGAAGATCCTCATTTCCTTCCGCCCACTTCCCCGAGAGCTTGTCCGAAATTTTTTCAGTGGTGTACAAGAGCTATAAAAATAGAGCTGAACTGGTTTTTACGAATAATGATCACAATATTTTTAGCTGTGAAAGTCAAAAGATCGTTGAAAATTTTTCACATGATTAAAAATGTTCCCGTCATTGCCCTCCCCGCTACCTACCCCCCCCCCCCCTCAAAAAATTGATACTGACACATCGAAATTGTGATGAAATACTGGTTTAGAAAAATGGCCCACGGTCATGTGAAGATGGAACCGGTTGATGATCTTACCCAAGTTGCGAATGAAGCAAACTGCGTTACAGCTCCATCACCCCTGACCTTCAAGCAACTAGACCAACCTTTTGGTTTTGTGCTCTACACCAAGGTGAAAATACAAGCGTTTGAATTTTTTCTCATTTTTTTTTATCCCAAAATTTTTATAACTTTAGAAATTGAATACCTGCGGCAAAAAGCTTGAAGTAAAACAACTCAAAGATTTTGGATACGTCACCCTTAACAAGAACCGTGTGGTAAGCAATAATTTTTAAAACGAAATTTCATAAAATTGTTTGATAGGGTACCTTGGTAAACTCGTACAATGGTAAATCTGTACACTCCTTGAACTTGCATGGCTGCAAACAAGGAGATGAACTTGGCATTCTGGTCGAGAACCAAGGACGACAAACATATGAAACGATCAACGATTACAAGGTTAGTAAGCTGTTGAGTACTACGGTATGTATTCTTGAGGTGGGGATTGGCTGATACGGTAGGATAGGCACGTGAAAGGCTTGTCGCAATCGCTAGGATTTTTGTTGGGCCAATGCTAAAAAATAGTGTGCAATTTATCCAAAAAACGTCTTCTTGCTCTGTGAGCGATGTTTTCAAAAAGTTTTGTAAGGTTTTTTACGTTGTGCTTTTGATCCTTGTACAAAAGGCCACGCCCTATTTTGTCTTACTCTGTGTCAACATGGCTCATTTTATATTTGATGCATAATACCAGTTAAAGGAACATCTTTTTTGTAGGGCATTCTTTCGGAAGTGGAATTAGATGGAAAACCACTGCATGACTGGAAGCAGTGCAAGCTGAGCATTATTCATGATTACGTCAACAAATACCCGTCAACATCAAACTCATCAAACGTGGTAAATTGCCCCCCCCCTCTTCCTCTCCCACAGCATATCTTTCAAGCATTTATTGGAGCAAAGGTGATTTTTTCAGCAAGAAGTAGGCCGACTGGAGTCTACCATGGTACTTTTAAAGTTATCGATTCGCCGAAAGATACATTTTTGAGCACAACCGGCTGGGGTAAAGGTGTTGCCATACTTAATGGAAATAATCTGGGACGATTTTGGGCTTCTCAAGGACCGCAGGTGAATAACAATGTCCAAAATTTACGATTGAGCAAAATTATGTTTTCAGATTACCCTGTACGTGCCTGCTGCTTTCCTACGAGTTGGAGACAATTCATTGCTAATAATGGAACTGGAAGAATCTAGAAACTGCTCTAAAGGGAGCTCTTAGTATCCTTCGTGGATCGACCTATTTATGTTTGGAAAAACACTATCAGTAACGTCGACTTCTTCGAGAGCCCACGACGTCAGTTGTACAAACAGGGGCGAGAATTTTAATTTGGCCATCTTTTTTATGGTTGTTTGATAAATGATCCCCATAAACTGTGTTGTATACCTTACGAAGATATGGTCCAACCATCTGAAAATTTGATTGCAATATCTGATGTGAATGTATGAGGCACGAATGAAGGCAAGTGGCTCATCGGCATAGAAATTCCGAAATCAGTTTTCAAAAAGTTCTCTATAAGTAACACGGACGAGCTACAGTCTGTCAGTCTACGAGCTGTCCAAACCCAAATCAGGCCAAAACTGGCATGACGGGAGTGCGCGTGGTTAGGGTTTTGCTTCACGTCTAAGCCTGTTTGTCTGCCCTCTCCTCAATCTCTTCGCTTTCTCCGGCGTGCACATATGCAACGCAGATCCCTAGCGCTGCAAGCGTGCAAACTAACACAAACGGCTCGTGATTTTGGTGGGACAGACTGTGTATTCGTCATTAGCTGCGAAGGGGGAACAGACAAGTCGTCCAAAGCGTGCAGAATCGCCCCTCGCGCACCACTTTGAGTGCAATTTTTTCAACGTAGAACAGGACTTATTTGAGAGGGACTAAGACAATAATCTAATCAGCAAGTTCCCCAGCTAAATATTAAAACATTAAAGTTTGCAGCGCGAAAGGGGGTCTAGGAAGTCTACAAATCCCCCCCCCCCCCTCACCTAAGTGGCTCGAATCTTATGTAGGCTCGGGCGAGTACGAGATGCATGCAAGGTAGAGACGCAGAGTCGTTGTGGGACCCTGCACTTATGACTCTGTGCCCTATGGATGCTCTGGCCTTGCAGTTCGAAATTCATCTGTGGGCGATGTTCGGGCCTACCATAAGGTGAGCCACTTGGGGGGGGGGGGGATTTGTAGACTTCGTAGACCCCCTCTCGCGCTGCAAACGTCCGTCGTCTTTTAGTAGGGGGTCTACTAATAAATACCAGAGCCAGGTACCCCCAATCTGGTGGGACGCTGCCTGTAAGTGTCATTCATTCTCCTACTGAAAAACATGAGCGCGCTTTGCGTACGGTGTTGACAAGTTTATGAGTGCGTTTTAACACGTCCTGGTAAATTACTGCTAAAAATCATATAAAAACATGTTGGAGCAAGTTGAACAACGCGAGTATAACATGTTCTTTCTTGAATTCCTAATGGTAATCTATCAAAACGCATTAACATGCGCTCTTAAGCCTCGGACAGAGTTCACGCGATTTGATCCTCGCGATTCAATCGAGACAAGAAATATGAGTTCATTGCATGCCGATCTTATTGTAATTCGGTTGTGATAGTTTTCCAACACGACTAATCGTGACTAACTATTACAACCGAAATACAAGAAAGATCGGCATGCAATGAACTCGTAACACTTGTCTTCAACAAGTGAATCGCGAGGATCAAACCGCGTGAACTCTGCCCGAGGCCTTAAACTCGGTGATCAGACATACACAAAGCGTGCTCGTGTTACCTGGATTGGGAATGAATGATGTGAACTTTGAACTTGAATCAGTTGTGCACCTTTAGCAGTCGATGACCACCATATTCTTTGCCAAATTTCTAGTCGCTATATCCTAGTTGCTCGCCGTTCGATGGATGGGCCAAATATGGAACCTGGTAGCATCGGAAAAATATTTCCAAAAACTTTTAAATAGCTAGCTAAGTCAGAAGAGATGTAATGTACTGTTATCGTATTGTACTCCATTTTGTTTACTTTATCTAGCAATTGTTGAAGCTCTTTCAAAAAGTTTAAATGAACCTTTCAAAAAACAGAATTAGATGAAAATCATGGGTTGAAGATTTTGACGATTATTCGACGATCATGAAGGGACTCGGAACACATTATTACTGCCGAAAAGAGGAATATCAATCGAACAATGTTCAAGGCATTTCGTCTATTATTACTCTGAGTGCTAGGGTAGATCTGAGAACCGAAATAAAAAAACTTTTGGACCGACCCAATACAGGATTTACTACATCCAAAGCAATTCTTCAAGTGGATGCCTAAAGGCAATGGCTCGGCAAATCGCAACCTAGTCAAATTTTTGCTTACCAGGGGTATTCAAAACGCTGATCCCGAAAATCCACTTTAGAAAGCTTGAAAATGGCGAAAACATGCGTTTTTGAATGCCCTTCCTTTTGAAGTTGGACGAGTGGAGCAACGCTGATGACGCTGAATCGTTGCAGGACCCAATGGTTGTAGCATTGCGGCGGTCAGCCTCCAATGGTGGGAAGGAAATTGCCAACTCGTCCGGGCGCGTGTAAGATTGGCTTGCGCGTCTAAGTTTGAGAGCAGTTTGCTCGGCAGGGAAGGCATGCTGTGCAATCGGGATTGCACTGTTTTCATACTTGGGCGATAAGGAACCTGCTGCGTTAAAATCCTGTGTTGTTGAGTTTTGCGGATCCACTGCCTTTGAATGGCGATATCGTACAAGTAAGGCGACAATTATGCTTTTTAGTTGTGATTACTATTGTTTGCGCAACAACTTTTCCAGTATATTATTAAAGCCTACCCTTTGTTGAAGCCAATTTGTAGTGCTGTCTTTGCAAGGTCTCATCATTTGGGCAAAGGTTCATTTGGACTTCTTGAAATCGCAGACTTTCTGATGTTAGGCTTATCGAACACAAAAGATTTCGCCCTTCATGATGGTGATCTGAATATGCACCAAACGTACGATTACATACACGTTGCAGGGCCTTTTTAAACATCATCTTGAAGGAATGGTTTTAGCGGTAAACCACAACATGGGGGAAGACAAGAAAAAGCTAATTTCTTATTTGTGATTTTTTCAAAATAACCATGTTTCGCAACTAGTGGCTATCAAGAAGAAGATAACAATAAAGAAACTGATTATAAAAATGCAAAGTTTCTTTTCTACTAAGTCGAAATGCACGTCAGAGCCATTTAGTTTTTGATGCGTCCTTTAAATTTTTAGCCCGCATTGACGTTCCTGTCTCCTGGGACGTTGTCTGGATTGTTGGACTTATTGTTCTGAGCAACAATCGCCCAAGCTGGAAAAATTCGCTGCGAAAGCACTGAAACAAAACAAGGTAAAGAAAAACGCACTTTTTACGATCTTTCGCAAAATATTCCGTCATGATCGAAGAGGTCAGCACTGGCTCATTCTCTGCATCATAAACAAAAGCAGGATTTTTAAAATGGACAAAAAACGAGTGAAAAGAGTTAAGTCAGGGGAACACAAGAGGTTTTTGAAAACAAGGTTTTTGCCGGATTTCTCGTTCAAAACCAAGAAATGCGCTTTTGAGACTTTGTCAGCGTGAAAGAGAGGTCAAGTCCTTAATATGATATACAACTTGCTCATACTGGGTTCGAAACAACGAAGAAAAGGGTACCAGAGCTAAATGCCCCATGTCCCGCGTTTGGGGTAGCTAGGTAGCGCGCAGCGCGCGGAGACGCAGACGAGCAGCGGAGACAGACTAGAGCTGACGGGGCATTTGGCTCTGGTCGAAGATCTTCGCGTTGTCTCAACAAAATCCTGCGACATATACATTATTCTGACCGTCATGACACGACGAGGAGCACTGGCAACATCCCAAGCGTTGAAAATCACTCATTAACGAGACAGACCATCATTTTCGTGTGTGAATCTCTGCGCAAGATTTAAGCGCAGCTTTCCGTTTTTATTTAACCTCCAACAGCTTTTCTGAACTTCGGAAACTCAATTTTGGTCAAATAACAGGTTAATTGAGAAATGCTATCCTGAATTCTGGGGAAACTTTTACAAAAACCTTCTTTTTAGCGTAAAAATACGATAAAATGCAAATTCTCGGTTTTGCTAGGAGAATCTAAAGATATTCTTCCTTATATTTGCTTCAACAACAGAAGTTATTCGGGGCTTCCCGGTCTTCGCCCCGAATAACTTCTATTTTTTAGGTAAAGGCTGCGTTCTCTCATGGCCCTCAAAGTAAAGGTTACCAGAGTACATCGCTAAATATATCGAGTTTATGGGTGTTTCAAATCGCACCCTTGATAGCAAGGTTCTCTGCTGAGGTTCTGCACTTATACTGAGGACAAATTATTGTTCCTGCCGATTCCAATTGAAATAGAGATTACTCTTACTGTTTCAGATTTTATATCTTTTCTTTCGCTTCATTAGACATGGCATTTAATACATATAGTCCTTTCCATCAGGCTTTGTTTGATTTATTCTCCATGGCTACAGTGATTGCAGGACCTAAACAAAGTAGACTTGCTTTCAGCTTGGTTCTCGTATTTCGGCGTTTCAACAACACTTATACTTCGTCCAAACTTTGGCTTGGGTTCGGTTTCCAAGATTGCAAGACAGATTTCAAAGAAAGCAAGATTTCTGCATTGAATACAACAAGAGTCTTCTTATTTTTGATTTAGCGGTTATGGGATTAGTCCAAAAAGCTCCTAGATGTGTTGCTTAGAAAGCAAGCACTAAATTGCGAAGTTGGCAACTACATGGTTGGAGCATTATGGTTTAGTGATTTTCATTCCTCAGTGTGCTCCTCGCTGGTTGTGAAGTCGAGTATCAAGCGAATCAAGTGTCATCACTAC